CACGGGACAGTGCCCGAAACAGCAGCCAGGGGACACTGCCCGAAACAGCAGCCAGGGGACACTGCCAGGGGACACTGCCCGGCCACACCGCGTGGTTTCGGTCTGGGCAATGATTAACCCGGCTCTGTGGGGATGTGCCACCAGGAAGCCGAGGGATTTACGGCTTCCCTGAGCCCGTGTCCCCACGGAGGGGGTGTTGGGGACCCCCCCCTGCTGCTGGCCCTGGGATGTGTCCCGTCCTGCCCTGGCTCTGCAGCTCCCTGAGCCTGGGGAGGGTTCAGGAATTGCTACAGCATCCCATAGGGAAGGAGGACTGGGAACGTGCAGAGGTTCTCGAGTCCCCCCATGTTTTGCTCCGTGTCTGCATCCCCTCACGCCTTTCTCCCTGTCCCTCATGTCCCCACTCCTCTCTCCACGGCCCCACTCCTCTCTCCATGGCCCCACGCCTCACCCTCGCCTGCAAGTCTAATATTTATTTTTCATTTCGCAGAAATCCCTTTGTTGGGGTTTTATTTATTTGGTTAAAGTCCCTCCCTTGCAAAGCATTTCCTGCCCCTCTGGGACACAGGGCCCCCATTCCCCAGGGTCCCTTGGTGGGGGGGATGGGGGTCCCTCTTGGCTCGGTGACACCGCGGGGTCACCCCTGGGTGACACCCTGCCCTCGGTGGGGGTGGTTTCGGGGTGTGATCCCCTCCTGGGACGTCCCGTTCCCGGTTTATGGGGCCGAGATAACGGCGTGACCTTCGAGCGGGCGGGAGGCACCGCGCGGCTCCGCTGCCGTCCCGGCGTGGCCCGGGGACACGGCTGTCCCCACGCCGGTGGCCCCCTCACCTGGCGGCCCCCAATTAGCCGTGGCTTCGTTCGTGGGGGGGGAAGGTGCCGTCGGAAGCGGCGTGAGCGGCCGGATGTCCCCAGGGCCCCCATCCCGGCAGGGACCGGCTTCCGGCACAAACAGCCCACAAAGGCCAGGAAGGAAGCGGGAGGGGGGACAGACGGACGCCCCACGTCCTCCTGGAGGAGCCCTGGCCGTGCCAGGGGGGTGATGGGGGTCCAGGGTGGGGCAGTGCTGGATGGGGGGCCAGGAACGCCCCCAAAGCCCCGGAGGTGTCACCCTGGGGGTGTCAGAGCCCCCCCGAGCTGTGTCCGTCTGTTCTTGTCCCCCAGTGGGACCCCACTCTGCCCTATGGGGGCTTGGGGGTTTTGTGGGTCCTTTTCCAGCCTTCCCCTCCCCAAATGCCCACCCAGGGGCCCTCCCCTCGTCCCTTTTTCCCCCACAGCCATGTGGGACACCCCACTGCAGCTCTACCAGGGCTCACCCCTGGATTCTGGAGGGGTTTGGGGGCTCTCCTGACTGCCCTATGTCCCCCCTGCTCCTGGGACTGCCCCCTGACAAGGTCCTGCACCCGTTGGTGGGGTTTGGGGGTTCCCAGAGAATCTGCTCCTCAAAAAGCTCCTGCAGCAGCTGGTGGGGTTTTTAGGGGTCCCTGGAGGATTTTTGGGGGGTCCCTGGGGAGTTTGGGGGCCCCGAGGGGGCCAACAATGCCTCCTCATCGTGGATCTGCCACACGGGACAGACACCGGTGTCCCCTCTGTCCCTGTGTCCCCTCTGGGCCCTGCTGGGGGGGCTGGGGAGTGTCCCCCCAAGCCCAGCCCCCCCTGAGCCCCCGTCCCCCCTGCAGGTGAAGAACGTGACGGACGGGGCCAGCGCCCAGGACGAGACGGCCACTCTGGCCTACTCGGAGAAGCCCACGAGCCCCATCACCGCGCCCCCCTACAGCCCCCCCTCCTACAGCCCCCCCCCGAACGGCTACTACCCCTCGGGCACCTACAGCACCCGCGGGTGAGTGCGGGCAGGGCCGGGGGGGCTGCGCGTCCGTCCCCTCCGTGATCCTGCAGGGACCCCCAGGGCAGGGGGGTCTGGGTGTTTGTCCCCTCCATGACCCTCCCCCTCTCCCCCCCGTGTCCCCCGCAGTGACCCCCAGGAGCAGGAGCCCAGCCCCGCGGAGGGGAAGGGCCGGGAGCAGCCCCCCAAGCCCCCCACGCGCCGCGGGCGCCGGCGCCGCCGGAACCCGGAGCTGGACGAGTCCCAGTACGAGACCGATTACACCACGGCCGTGGAGTCCGGGGATGAGCGGGACCGCGACCAGTGGGCCAGGTGAGCTGGGGGGAACCCCCCTGGAGCGCCCCCCTGGAGCTGGAGCCGCCCCTGGGGGGGACTGACCATGCCCCCTCTCCCCAGCCTGTACCCCCCGATCTCCTCGGACGGGACGCGGCAGAGGTACAAGCAGGAGTTCGACTCGGACCTGAGGCGCTACAAGGAGCTCTGTGCTGACATGGACGCCATCAACGACCGCCTCGGCCAGCTGGGGAAGCAGCTGGACAGTGTCCCTGAGGACAGCCCCCAGTACCAGGTGGGGGGGCCGCTCTGGGAGCTGTGGGAACGCTGTGGGATGGGTGGTGGGGGAGCCTGGGGGATGCTGCAGGGCGGCAGGGATGGGGGTTGTGGAGCTCCCGGCATGCTGCGGGGCATCAGAGGTGGATGCTGTGGAGAATTTGGGACGTTGGGGATACAGGATGGGATGTTGTTGGGCTACAGGGCTGGATGTGGGGGATCTGGGGTGCTGCAGGGCAGTGGGGGTGATTTCTGTGGAGGATCTGGGATGCTGCAGGACACTGGGAATGGGTGGTGAGGATCTGGGATGGAGGATTTGGGATGCTGCAGGATGCTGGGAATGGGTGGTGAGGATCTGGGATGGAGGCTTTGGGGTGCTGCAGGATGCTGGGAATGGGTGGTGAGGATCTGGGATGGAGGCTTTGGGGTGCTGCAGGGCAGCAGAGGTGGATGTGGGGGAGCCTTGGGATGCCATCCTGGGTGGGGGGGGGAAGCTGGGCAGGATTTGGGATGCATGGATGCTGCAGGACACCAGGGACAGCACAGGGCAGCACTTTTGCCCCGCTGTGACCCCCCTGGTGCCCTTCCCTCCACAGGAGCTGGCCGAGGAGTACAACAGGCTCAAGGACCTGAAGAGGGTGAGTTGGGGTGGGATTGGGGGGAGTTACACAGCTGGAGGGGGTAGGGGGGGTTTCCCTGAAGGTTTCCCTGCCTCCCTGTGCCCCCCAGCCCTGATGCCAGTCCCCTGCTGCCTTTCAGAGCCCCGACTACCAGAGCAAGAAGCTGGAGACCAAAACCCTCCGCAACAAACTCTTCCACATCAAGCGGATGGTGAGCGACTACGACAAGGTCCGGGGGTGACCTGAGCCCCCCCCACCCCGTGGAAAGAGGGGCACAGGGGGGAGGCCTCTGCTCCCCCCCACCCCCTCTGCAAAGACTTTGGGGCATTTTGTGCCTTTTGTTGTATTAAAATCCCCCCAAAACCGCCCCGGTGCCAAGGCTGAGGGGGCTGGAGGCAGCTGCTGGTGTGACCCCCCCGCCATCCCCATGTCCCCCCCACCCTGTGAGTGCCTCCCCTCAGTGCCTTCCCATCCTGGGGGTCCCCTCCCACTCCTGTAAGTATGTTTTTTTTTGGGGGGGGAGTCTGCACCCCCCTGGGTGCCTTCACAGGGGTTGGGGTACCAAACCATGGCTGGGGGGGGGGGTGGGCAGAGAAAACCTTGGTTGAACCCCCCAGGGATTTGGGGAGGGGGGTGGGAAGAATCCCTCTGGGGGGACCCCCCCGGTGATATTTTATAAGGAACTCTTTGAAACTGTGTAATATTTCAATTTTTTTTAAAATAAATGAAGTGTATCTATTGATTTTAAATTGGGGTTGGTGTGAAAGGGGCTTGGGGGGGTGGATGGAGTGACTCCCCCCCCAAAAGCCCCAATCCCAACCTCTGTGCTGACTCCTCCCTTCTATCCTGCTGATCCAGCTCTTCCTCACCAGGATTTATTCCCAAATGACCCCCCCCTCGTTATAAACCATCACCCAGGAGCCTCCCCTCCCCAAATCCCCGGATTACCCACAAAACATCCAATTTTAGGTCTTTTATAGGGGTTCCATTTTTTTTGGGCAGAGATCACGTCCCAAATTTTGCTCCACCATCCCCCTCACAAATCCCTGCTCACACCAAACCCCCCCCCCGGGGCTGTAAGAAACATCTTTTATTGACTTAATTCATTTGTTTAGTATCATTGAACAAGGATTATATTTTCAGTGAATCAACCTAAATGCCAAATCCCGGCTAATCCTGCCGCCGTCTGTCACACCGAGAGGGGGGGACCCCCCTGATCCCTCCTGGCTGGCTCTGCCCCCCCTCCTTCCATGTGCCCCCTCCAGCCCTGGGGACCCCCCCCAGCAGCATCACCCCTTTCCAGCCTGGTTTTGGTCCCCCTAAAATCTGAAAAAAGCCCAGGGAGGCACAGGACTGTGGGGAGGGTGGGGGTGCTGAGGCGGGGGAAAGCAGTGAGGGAGGCAGCAGGAATGAGCCCAGGGAGAAGGGCTGGGTGCTGTTCACATCCCAAAAAAACCCCCCAGCCCCTCCTGTGACCCCCCCCCTCCTGTCCCAGTGCCCCCACGGGGGAGATGCTTCAGTGGAAGGTGGGGTCAGGCCTGATGATCCCCAAAAAGGGGCCGCTCCAAGCTCAGCCCATCAGTCCTCGAGGCTGAATTGGGCCTGGTGGGCACAAAGGGGCTCTAAAATGACCCTTTTTCCACAATTCCCAGGACTGGAGCTGGGGAGGGGGGACAGAGCCAGGGGTCCCAGCCTGGCTGGTCCCATCTCCCACCACCTCCCACCTGAGCCTTCTGACATCTGAAATGCAGTTTGGAGGAGCAGAGGGGGTGGGATCCCCCTTCCCTGGGCAGAGGGAGGGACCAGCCCCGGCAGGGGGTGCTCCGAGGTCCCTTGGGATGCTCCAAATTCCACAGCGGGGAGAGGAACCAGCCCCAGGGATGCTCCAAAGTCCCTGGAGGGACCAGGGCGGGGCTGGGAAGCTCCAGGGGGTCCAGAACAGTCCGGTGTCCATCGGCGGCGACACGGAGAGTACCTTCGGGTTTCGGGGGGACACCCCCGTGACCCCACAGCCTCTGCGGGGAGCAGGGCCCCCTCCTGTGGCAGACAGAGCTCCGAGGCCGAGGCCCAGCACAGAACACCCCAGGGACACCACGGGAACGAGTCCACGTCCAGCTGCCGGGGGGGCGGTCCCGGGATCGTCCCCTCCCCGCGCTCCGTCCCTACTGCCCCGTCCCGTAGGGCCAGTTGAAGGTGCTCCCGGACAGCAGCATGTCCCTGATTAGCGTCTCGATGGGCGTCTTCCCCACCAGCCTCATGAAGAAGAGCTGGGAGATGAGGGCGGCGGGCACGGCCCGGAGCGCCGGGAGCCGCAGGAGCAGCCGCCCGAAGCGCTGGGGCTGCGACGGGTACTGGGAGCGCACGTACTCCGTCAGGGCCACCTGCGCCTTCTCCTGCAGGCTCTCCACGTGCGCCGGGTCCGACAGCCCGCAGGCGTCTGTGGAGACAGAGGGGAGCAGCGGTTGGAGGGGCCCTGAGACCCCCGGGGAGCCCCTAAACCCCCGCGAATTCTCGGAGGGGTCGTGCCAGCCAGGACCGGGCAACTCCACGGGTGAGCGTGGGTGGAGCGAGGGCTGAGACCCTCACGGTTTTCTCCGGGGGGGGGATCTGCATTCCTGCAGGTCTCACTCCCGGGGAACACTCGTCCCTGCACCCAGATGGACACACTGGGGGGACAAAACCCACGGCGGCGAAGTGCCCAGGAATGGACCCTCCGCCATCTCCGGATGCTCCCCGGACCCCAAAACCACCTCTGTGGCGCGGGATGGGCGCGGATGGGCCAAGGGATGGGGCTCCCCAAGATCCCCCTCCATTTCCCTGAGGGTATCCGTGCTCCTACAGGTCCCCAGGAAGTTCATCCCTGAGTCAACCCCAGAGAAATCACGGGGGAAAAGACCAGGGAATGAGGACCCTCCGCCCTCTCCAGACACTCCCTGGATCCCAACCCCCCAGGGAAACAGCGGACACCCCCTCCCCGGTCCCCCCCAACCCCCGGCGCCAGCGACGTACCGGGCGTGAAGAGCGCGATGGCTTTGAGGCAGCTGTACTCGGCCGAGTCCACCTGGAGCCGGTTGAGCTTCTCCACCTGGTCCTGGAAGATGCGGATCTGGTCCATGAAGGAGACGACGCGGTCGGCGGACATGGGCGAGGCGTGGAAGCCGGCGGCCGCCAGCAGCGGGGCCATGTGGAGCGGCAGCGCCGACTGCGCCGCGTTCAGCACGAACAGCTCGCTCCAGCTGAGCCGCAGCAGCGCCACTTGGTCGGACACGGGCAGCTCGGGGAAGAAGGGGATGTTGCGGGCCCACTCCACGGTGCTGAAGAGCAGGCGGGCGGCCAGCTCGCAGATGTTGTCGATGCCCATCACGCTGCCCTGCTGGGCGTACTGGGAGCCGTAGCGGGCGGCCGGGTAGGGCTCAGCCCGCAGCAGCTGCGAGATGAGCTCCGACACCGGCTGCCCGTTGAAGTATTCCCCGCTGGGGATGGTGTTGGGGCTGGTGCTGGAGTGGCTCGGGGGGATCCGGCCCCGCTGCACGGCTGTGGGGCGAGAGGAGGGGGCTGGGTCAGGCCTGGAACACCCTGGCCCGCTCCTGGCATTCCCAGTGCCCACGGGAAGGGGGAGGAAAGGATGGGGATGCTCCCACCAGACACCCACTCAGCATCCCCATACCCTGCCATGGGGACCTTCCCACCATTTATCCTGACACCCCCAGCATCCCCCTATCCTGCCACGGGGATGCTCCCACCATCCTGACACCCCCAGCATCCCCATATCCTGCCACAGGGATGCTCCCCCCATCCTGGCATCCCCAGCAGAGCCACATCCTGCCATCCCAAGGGATGAGGAGCAGCTTTTGAGGCGCCCGGGGGAGAGGGAGGTGGCGCGAGCCACACTCATCCGTTTAAGATCCCGGTGATCCATCAGCTTCCACCAGCATCCATGACCCCAGGCACGCCAGGCTGGGTGCCCAGCTGGCACCACAGCCCCCCCACACCGGCTGCAGTCGCTGCCCAAGGTCATTCCGTGGCAGGAATCATTTATTTCCACACAAAACGCCCCCCTTGGAAGCGCCGTTACCCTGGAGCTCCCACTCCTAATTGCAGGCAGGAAGAGCCATTTTTTGGATCCCCCCCCGCCCCCCCATTAGTGCCCAGTATTTGCTCAATCCCTGGTAATTAATTTATGGGCTGTTCACGAGGCACTTAAATGAGAGCTCTAAATCATGCTAAGTGGCAATAACGCCATCCCGACTCCTCTGGAAAAGAGGGAATTACTGTCCTGCTTCCAGCATCCGTCCCCTCTTCCTCCCTATAGCAGTGCCACTTGCCATGGAGCAGCCACAGCATCTCCATCCCCATCTTGGCACAGCCCCAGCCACAGGGATTGGAGATTTTTGAGGATAAACCTGAGATTTTCAGGATCATCCTGGATGCAGAAGCATTTTGGGGTTTGCATTCCCCCCCCCCAAGTGACGGGGAGCAGGGGGGGGAAAGCAGGCTGTGGGATTTGCTGGGATCCAGGAGTCCATCCCAGCAGGTGATCCCTGCTCCAGGTGTGTTCCCTTATCAGCCCCAAAGCTTTTCCAAACAAAAGCCACCTGCGCTGCCGGCACGGGGTGGGGGTGAGGGGAGGAGGGAAAACCAAAAACCACCAAAAAAAAGGGGGCAAAGGGGGAGGGGTTTGCTGGAAACAGGGATCCCTGGGATTCCCAGGCCACCCTGGGAAATGCCCCCACCCCTGTGCCTGTTACCTTCCTTCCTCATTCCCACACGGAAGCACTTCTTCAGGCGGCAGTACTGGCATTGGTTGCGGTGGTGCTGGTCGATCTGGCAGTCCCGGTTGGATCTGCGGGAAGGACCGGGAGCAGGTGAGGGGCCAGGAAGGAGTGACCATCCCCCCACCAACCTCCTGAACCCCCCCAAGCTCCTCCAACACCCCCTTCCCACTGCCCTGGGTCACGGCCCTTCCCCTCGCTGCTGCTGCTCCGATTCTATGGAAACAGCCATTTCCTACATTTTCCTCCGGATCCTGCTGCCAGCGCTGCCCGGGGCTGTTGGGAAGCTGGGAAGACCCCCGGGCTCCAGCCCCTGGGGACATGCAGGGCCGGGGAGAGCGGTGTCCCATGTCAGCAGCTCCCTGCCTGCCCACCAGACACGCCAGGAATTTCGAGGAATTTCAACTATTTCCTAGGGGGCTGGGGCAGTGCTGAGCCCACCACCCCTCAGGCACCGCTGTCCCCGTGTCCCCAGAGGAGGGGGACACGTCCCCCAGCTGGGACAGAGGGATGTTCCCCCTCCCCAAAGCCCCTGGGAGCCTGGAAGGGGGCCATGCCCAACCCCAGGCACGTGGATTCATCCCCGAGCTCCGAGTTCCAGCCATCCCCAGGGGCAGCTGCCGAGCTCTGCTCCTGGGGGGAACAATTCCGTTCCCAAACGGAATTATCAGCATCCAAACACCCCCCCAGCCCCCATTCCCAGGGATCTGACACTGATACTCACATCCCACCCCAGCAGCAAAACCAGGAGGGGTGTGTGTGTGGGGGGGGAAGGGGTGGGAGCAGGGAATCTGGGATAAATTAAAGCGGATAAAGCGGGAGGCAGGGCCGGGAATCGCCTGGCGTCCGGCGGCAAGCTCGGCTCTGCCCGGGAATCCTGACACGAATCTCCTCCATCCCTACACGGCTCCAGAGGCGAGGCAGGCAGGGATTCCCACGGCGCTCCAACCGGAATTAATTCATCCCGAACATCACCGCTGCGCTCCGGAACGTGCTCCCGATAAAAACTTGTGCCGGCGGAGGAGCGATAACTAATCAAGGCGGCGGGTGACAACTTCATCTCCGGCTGCCGGTACCCAGCGCCGGCACAATCCTCCCAGGAGCCATCCCAGCGCCTTCCCAGCGGACAGACCCGCCTGCACCGCCCTCGGGAGAAGCCCTCCCCACCCCCAAAAATAATTCTGGATGCCTTCAGATGAATAAAACTCCATTGGTTTGACCCTCACCACGAGCTCAAGGCACCGGGAAACACCCCCCCCCCCCCCCCCAAATCATTTCAGGTCCTTTCCAATGGACAAAACACACCAGGCTAACCCTCAACAAGGCCTTGAGGTACCAGGAAAACCCCCCAAAAATCATCCCAGCTCCCTTGAAATAAATAAACCATTCTGGTTGACCCTCACCGAGGCCTATGGGTAGGAGGGAAGAGGAAACGCCCCCCAAAAATCATCTCAGATCCTTTCCAACGGACAAACCCACCTGGCTGTCCCTCAACACGGCCTCAAGGCACCGGGAAAACCTCCCAAAAATCATCTCAGCTCCTGCCAGCAGCTCCTAACAAGGTTTTCAATGGACAAACTGGCCTGGCTGCCCCTCACTGCAGCCTCGGGGCCCCTGGAAAACCCCCCAAAATCACCTCAGCTCCCTTCCCATGGACAAGCCCACCCAGCTGGAACCCTGCCACGAATCTCCACAATTCCCACACGGCTCCAGAGGCGAGACAGGCAGGGATTTCCACCGGGAAACCCCCCCAAAAATCATCTCGGCTCCCTCCCAGTGGCCAAACCCACCTGGCTGCCCCCTCACCGCGGCCTCGGGGCACCGGGAAAACCTCCCCAAAAACCACCTCGGCTCCCGCCAGCAGCTCCTGACGAGTTTTCCAATGGAAAAGGCAGCAGCGACCTGGGAAACTTCGAGGCTACAAAAGGCGTCGACTGCGCTAATTATGTAATTAGAGCGGGTAATTATTTAGTGCAAGAACTAAACTGAATCCAACTCACTTTTAATATTCAAATTAGCGCCATCGGGGCTCGGTGCCGCTTTTGACTCCGGAACAAAGCGGATGCCGGGGCTGCCGGGGGAGCTTTGTTCCCGGCCCCACCGACACTTCACTCCCCACTTGGAAAACCAACAGTTTCTCCATTGCTCCAAATCACTTCCCAGCACAAAAAAAGAGGGGGGGGGAAAAAAAAACACCCCAAAAAAACCCAAACCCCAAACATCACAAGCGGGAGCCCAGATCCCGGGGACAGGGGCGGGATAAAAGTCTTGGGGGATCCGAGTCCCGTCGCCCCGACATCTGGGATGCAGCGTCCGTCCGTCTCCCAGGGAGCCGCTTCGGCCTTCCCTTTGTTTCCGGGAAGCTGGAATTTCTCAAAAGCCATCTGTATTCCCCATCTTCGAATCATTAATCCCGAGCTGAGCGGACCCTGCTGCTCCAAGGGGGGGGGGGAAACTGAGGCAGGGCCGGGGCTTTGCGTCCGCACGCGCCGCCTCCGCCGGGCGGGCGACGGGACACGCTCGGGGGATGTGGGGACACGGGCAGCGACCCCTGCCCCACACCGCCGGCCCGGGGGGCCCCACGCCACGGCCACGAGCTGCCTGGCTGACGTCAGCCGGGCCCGGAGCCGGGAGCTGCCGGGAGCTGCCGGGAGCGGAGCCGCTGCGCACGGGGGAGGACAAATCTAGGCCGCCCAAACGGGAGCAAAGCGGCTCCCAGACGATTCCCTTCCCTTCCCTCGAAGCATCCAACCCCTCCCCGGGCAAGCAGAGAGCGAGGTGTGGAGATGGGGTGCCTCGTGGGTGAGGGATGCCCGTGGATGGGGTGGCAGTGCCATCCTTGCAGCACTCCCACCGGTTTGGAAAATGCCGCTGGAAGCGCTCGGATCCAGCCCCTGTGGAGGTATTTCCCTCTCTGGGAGCAGCCTGAAGCGGGGGTCTCCCCTCCAAGGGCCAGCCAGCCCCATCCTTGTTCCAAGCCCAAGAAACTCCGGAGTTATTGGCAGCTCCCAACTTGCCAGGGGTCATATCCTGGTCCTGCTGGCGGGCCTGGATCTGCAGCAGCACTTAGTGGGGGGGCTGGCAGAGGATGCAGCCTCTCACCTGGGCATCCCAGAGGATCCCTGTTCCCGGCATCCCAACGGATTCAGTGCCCGGGCTCTCGGCACCTCCAGCCGGATCGGTCCTGCCGCCCGGCGCGTTGTGCGGGGGCAGCGGCCGTGACCGGAGTGACTCACGGGCACAATTAATGCCGGAGCAGCGGCGGGTGAGGATGACGAGGATCCGGACAGCGGCCGTGCCCGAGGGCCCCGGGAACAGGGAAGGCAGCACACGCAGCCCGGGGGGCCGGGGGGCTGCTGGTGTGGGGTGCAGGGCACAGAGGGGCCCTGGTGCTGTACTGGGGGCACACTGAGATGTCCTGCAGGGATCCCTGTGCTGTACTGGGGGGACACTGTACCGTACTGGAGATGATCCCTGTGCAGCTCCAGGGGATCCCTGTGCTGTACTGGAAGGGACCCCCGTGCTGCTCCGGTGGATCCCTGTGCCATACTGGGGGACCACTGTGCTGTCCTGGAGGGGATCCCTGCGCTCCACCAGAGACCCCTGTGCTACACTGGGGGGCCACTGTGCTGTACTGGGGGGGCCATCTGTGCTGTACTGGGAGGACCCTCGTGCTGCACCAGGAGACGCCTGTGCTGTGCCGGGAGACGCCAGGGCTGTACCAAGGGGGAACCTCTGTGCTGCTCCGGGGACCCCCGAGCCGCACCGGGCACCCTGTGCTGCCCTGTGGGCCACCGATTGCACCCGGGGACCCCTACCCTGTACCGGGGCCCCCTGTCCGGCCACACCGGTGCCCCCGGCTCCTGCTGCAGCGAGGCCACCACGCAGCCACAGCAGGGCCAGCGCAGAGGCCACTGCAGAGCCACACCAGTGACCCGCACCGGTGCCACCGGCGACCACCCTCCGACCCGCCACCGGGGCCGCTGCCCTACCCCAGGAAGGGGGAGGGGGACGACGACACCCCCCTCCAGGCGCCCCCCAAAAACCCCCAGGGTACCTGCAGGTGTAGCTGAGGTTCCTGCGGATGCTGCGCTTGAAGAAGCTCTTGCAGCCCTCGCAGGTGAAGACCCCGTAGTGCTTCCCGCTGGACTTGTCCCCGCACACCACGCAGTCCACGGCGGCCCCGGCCCGCTCCTCCTCGCCGTGCTCCGCGTCGCTGCCGCCGCCCGCGGGGGACGCCGCCTCCTCCCCGCCGCCGCCGCCGCCGCCGCCGCCGTTGGGCTCTCCCCATCCGCCGGCCACCATGGCCATGGCTCCGCGGGGCTCGGCACCGGCCGCGGGGCTCAGCGCCGGCCCCGCCGCCGCATCGAGCGGAGCCGCCCCGGTGCCTCCCGCAAACGAGTTCGGCAAGTTTGGTTTTTTTTTGTTTTTTTTTTTTTTGGCCGAGCGGCGGCCGGTTTGGGATTTTCACGGTTATTTTTTTTTTTTTTGGCTTTTTTTTCCTTTTGGTTTTTTTTTTTTTTTTTTTTTTTTCCCCGGTTCGCCCTCCCCTATCGCCGGGATCCCTTTCGCCCCGGGATTCGTTTATCCCAGCGATTCCTCCTCCTCCTCCTCCTCCCCGCCCCGGTTAACGGGGGGGCCCCGCGGAAACTTTGCGGCGGCGGGCGCGGGGCGCGGCGCATCCCCCCGCGGGGACCGGCCGCATGCGGGGGCCGCTCCCGCCCCCGGTGGCTCCTCCGCTCCGCGGCACCGGCTGGAAGGAGGAGGAGGAGAGGAGAGGAGGAGGAGGGAGGGGGCGGCGCTGCCCCGACCCGCCCTCGCCCCCCCGGGCCCCGCCGCCGCACGCAGCCCGGTCCCGGTGCGGGTGCGGGTGCGGCGGGACCGGCTCCGCCGAGCCCCGGGGCTCTCCCCGCCTCCCGTGAAAGAGCAAAGTTCAGCCGCTGCCGCGGTGGCCGCCCTGGATGCTCCTCCCCGTCCTCCTCCCCTTCCGCTCCCGGGTCCTGCCCCGGTCCCGGCCCCGCCGCCGCACCGGGCCGCCCCCGCCGCCCCCCGCGCCCCGCGCGGCCCCGCAGCCCCGGGCGGGGCCGTAACCGGGACCCTGGGCCCGCGGTACCGGCGGTACCGGCGGTGGCAGAGCCGGGCATGGCCCCGGTGTGGTGCCGTGGTGATGGAGCCGGAGGTTTGGCCACCGGAGGTGGCTGGATGTGGCCCCTCCCGGTCCCCCGCTGCATTTTGGGCACCAGAGCCCTTGGCTGGCACCGGGAGAGCTCGGCACCTCCTGCTGCACCGAGAGCCCGGAATTGTGGTGGGAGGCTGGCATTAGAACAGGGGCCCAGCGTGGCACTGGGATCCCAGCATCAAACTGGGAGCCTGGTGTTATACTGGGAGCCCAGCGTTGAACTGGGAGCCTGGCATTGTCACAGGAGCCCAGTGTGGCACCGGCATCCAGCACAGAACTGGGAGTCTGGCATCGCTCTGGGAGCCCCACATTGGACCAGGAGCCCAGCATGGCACTGGGAGCCCCACACTGGACCAGGAGCCCAGTGTGGCACTGGGAGCTCCACATCCCACTGGGAGCCTGGCGTGGCTCTGGGATTCCAGCATGGCACCAAGAGGCTGGCATGCAGGGCCACCTGGGCTGCGGCGTCGCGGCACAGTGTGATGCCGGCGGGGGCTGCTGGGATGCTGGGAAGCTGGGAAGCTGGGAAGCAGTTCCCCACTACTCCTGGCCTGTGGCCAAGCCGTCGGCATCGTCAATCCCCTCCTCTCGCCGACAGCCCCAGCGGGATCTTTAATTACCGAGGCCGCGGCTCGTGTGGGGCCGCGAGGTGATCCCAGGGTCCCTCGGGAGCCCCCAGCCCTGGCAGGGAGCAGAAGGGCTGGATGTGGCTGGGGCCCGACTCCTGTGGCCCCATAAAGCCCGTCTGCAATGTGGTTAATCCAGTCGGACCCGTAGGAGCCGGCCAGGTGCGGGCGGTGGGTGCTGGGTGCTCCTCGCCCGCCTGCTGCCGCCCTGGAAATCATTAACCAGGGGATAAACCCTGTGGAAAGGTGCCTGACCCCGGAGCAGCCCCTGCCACCGCCCTGCCACCGCCTTTCACCCGGGGCCAAACTCCCCTCCCGGCCGTGCCACGGCGGCCCCGGTGCATCCCGGCACCTGCTCACCTTGACTTCCAGGGGCAAAGTCCGGCAGGCAGGGCACGGAGCTGGGGTGGGGTGGACCGGGTGCCCCCTCGCACCCCTGACCCGCCGGTGTCCCCACGGGGCACTCCGCCTCACGGTGAGGATGCTGGTGCCATGTGGAGTGGCTGGGAGTGCCCACACTGCCTGGCCCCAGCACTGCCAGGACCTTCCTGCCGGTGTCCTTGGCATTCCCAACCCACATGCCAGGGCTGAGGTTACGGGAAGGGCAAAGCAAAGCCCTGAGCCTGGAGCTGGGGTGCAGCAGAGGGGGAGGGTGTGCGTGACACGGCCATAAACCAAACAACCCCCCTGTTTCTCCTGGCTTTGGGGGTCTCTGCTCAGCAGGTACCCACTGACACGGTGCCCAGAAAGGCTCCGATGCCCCAGGTCTACCATGGTCGTGGAATAACACCCGGCAGAGCCAGCTGGGAATGGGGCTGGGCTCAGGAGGGGGGGGTCCCAGTGCGGGCATGGGGGTCACCCCCACCTGCAGCCAGCCCCGCTTCTCCTTTCTCTTCTGTCAGGCCGTGATTTATGGCCCTTTCCCTGCCGCTCCCCCGCCTCCTCGCCCCCTGCAAAAAATAATAATCCAGGAACAAAGGAGGAAATTGGATCTTGTCCCCCGCGCGGCTCCCGGCCCCGCGCTGGGAGCCGGTTTGTTTTGACGTCGGTGTCCAGTTGGCGAAGGCGTTTGATCTCCGGAGGAATTCCTCCTTCCTCGCGCTGCTCCGCTGCCTCCGCCGCACAAAAGGGCCCCCGGGAGCCGCCGGCGCGTTTCGTGCCGCCCCGGCGCCCCCGGGAAGGGTCCGGCACGGCGGAGGCCTCGCCGAGGTTTCCGGAGTCGCGGTGGTTGGACCGGGCCGCGGCGTGGGCATGGGGGGGCCGGCGGTGCCCCCTCGTCCCCCACGGCCTGCGGGCAGCGGGATGGCGGAGGGGCAGGGTTGGGTTTGCGGCTGTGGCTGGGTTTTTGCTGGTGGCACTGCTTGGTGCCAGCACCGGTGGAGAGGTGGGAACCAGCAGCGCCAGAGAGCCTGGTGCCATCCCTGATGGAGAGGTGGGAACCAGCAGCGCTGCAGAGCCGGATGCCAACACCACCACCACCAGCCTGGCCCCAAAAACCCCTCATCCCAGTTATCACCACCGCCCTGGGCTGTGGGGCGGCCATTCCCTCTCCCAAGCCCACGAGGGAGCTGCCAGCGGTGGTGCTTCCCAGGGGCTTGGATAGAACCACCCTGTCCCTCTGTCTGTCTGTCCTCCACGACCCCATCACAGCCCCACATGGGGATTTGGGGTCAGTCCCCTGATTTTCAGCCCTTGTTCAGGCCCCACTCTGCCCCCATCCCTGTGAGGGTGCAAACCTTGGGTGGGGGTCACTGCACACAGGGGCTCTCACCCCCCCATGCCCCCCATGTCACCCCATGGAGAGGTGGTTTCACCCCCCCCAGTGCCATGGATTTGCCCCCAGCCCTGTGGAAAGGCTGGGGGTGACCTGACCCCTCTCCTGCTCCATCGAGAGAGAAACTGAGGCAGGGAGTGGGACAGAACATCAACAGGCATGTGGAGCCCCGGCCTGGCCCCAGGGTCAGCAGGATGTGGCAGGAGGGACCCTCTGGGCGGGGTGGGGGCGGTGGCGGGTCCCACCTGCCCTCCCCCTCCTCCTGGCACCCAGGGTCGAGGCTGCCCCGGCTGCCCCCGCCTTTCATGCGGCTCTCGGTGGAGCCTGACCCCGCACAAAGCCCCCAGGAGCCCATTTGAATCTGAAAAGGGGTCTGAGCGCGGAGCCCTGACCTTCAACCTGCGGGTCAGCCCCTCCACACCACCGGCCCCGGCCCATGGGACCCCCCCACCAGCCCTGGTCCCCACTGGGGCCGTGCCCAGGGCAGGCAGGGACTGGGAGCAGGGGGCACAGGCAGCCCCTGGCTCCACTATCAGGCTCTGGGCACACCCCCCCTGTGCTGGGCACCAATCAGGGCTCTGCTGCTCATTTCGTGCTGGGGCAGCTCCCTGGGGAAGCTGTCCTTTGATCCAGCCCTGCTGCCCCTGGGGACACAGAGGTGACCCCATTTCAGAGAGCGGCGTGGTGGGGGGGGTGGAGGGCACGGGCAGCTCGGGGGGGATGAGCTGCATCCCTGCTCCCTGAATCCCTGCAGCCCTGAATCCCTAAATCCCTGCATCATTGCATCCCCACATCCCTGCATCCCCATATCCCTGTGCAGTTGTGTCCCTGCATCCCCATATCCCTGAATCCCTGAATCCCTGTATCCCCACAGCTCTGCAGCCCTGAATCCCTGCAGCCCTGAATCCCTACATCCCCTGCATCTCTACATCCCCACAGCTCCACATTCCAGCAGAATTGCACCTCTGTGTCCCTGCATCCCCGAATCCCTGCATCCCTCTCCCGGCCCTCTCCATCACCACAGCTCCAGATATTGATCCATGGAGCCTTGAACTCCACTGCAGGATCTCTCCAGGGCGATCCAGGCCTCACTGCAGCCCATCTCCAGCTCGGTGCCTCAGTTTCCCTCCACCCCTCAGTGCATCCAAGCCCTGCACCGTTCCCCTCTCATCCCCCCGAGCCCCACAGAGCCCTGATCCCACTATCCACGTGCTCATTTGCGTGGGGATGGAGGGGGCTCAGGCTGGTGGGTTGAGCCCCCCCCCACTCCCCTCAGCACCCCCCTGGCACAGCCCACTCCCAGAGCCCCCCCTGCACGGCCGGGATGGCCCCAGAGCGGGGTCACCGCTCCTCTTCCTCCTGAATATGGATGGGCCCCGCGCCATGGCCACTGCCGTCACCTTTGATCCCGCGGCAGGGACGACCAAATGGCTTCATCTGCGCCGGGAGACAGCAGGGAGGGGGGTGCCCTTTGTTCCCGGCCCCCCTGGGATCAGCCGAGCCGGGGGTCCCGCAGCTGAGCCCCGCCCGAGCTCAAAGCCCTCCAGCTCCAAACCACGAGCACGCAGGGTTTATTACTGCGGGGGTACAGCACAGCTCGGTGTGGGAGGGGGTCCTGGGGGTCTCTAGATGCAGGTCTCGCTGCTGGCTGGGCCCTGCTCCAGGGAGTGCAGCCTGCGGGCCAGCGCCTGCTCCCGCCGGGAATGTTGCCTGCGCAGGGCTCCCGCCTGCGCCTCCAGGCGCCGCGCCTGGGCCGCCTGCTTGCGCCGGGCACCGCGGTACGCCAGGGCCAGGGCGCTGAGGGGCACGCTCAGCACCTGCCCGGGCACGGGGGGGGGGCATGGGGGACGGGGTGGGGCATGGGAGATATGGGGGATATGGGGATTTGGGACACCCAGGGATCATGGGGAACCAGGAGGTGGCATAGGGGACCCAGGGGACTCAGGGGATCAATGGGAAACAGGATATCCAGGGGATCAAGATCTAGGGTATTCAGGGGACCCCGAGGGACATGGAGCACCCAGGACACCCAGGGTATCCAGGGGACCAAGGGGATCCAGGGGTCATAGGGGACACAGGGGAGTGAGGGGACATAGGGCACCCAGGGGATCTAGGGCACCCAGGGGATCCAGGGCACCCAGGGGATCCAGGGCACCCGGGGGTCACAGGGCACCCAAGGGACACAGGAGATGCTGCACCCAACGCCCACCCAGCAGAAATGTAGGTTCCCCCTGCCCACCTGTGTGCCTGGAACAGGTCCGTGGCGACGGTGACGCTCTGTGCCTGCTGTGCTCGGCTGGCAGCACTGCCCTGCTCCAGGGACAGCACCAGCTCCTGTGCCCGGGCACGCAGCTCCTCCGTCCTGGGGACACGCGCGTGGCAGCCAGTCCTGCACTGTGCCCAGTGCCCATCCCAGCATGATTCCCAGTCTGGCCCAGTGCCCAGCCCCTCACAGCACCCACCCTGGCGCCGCTCACACCATCGAGGTCTCTTACCTGGCCGAGGTGCGGAGCAGCTCTTCCCTCATCCTCTCCAGATCCGGAGGGTTCCGCGGAGCCGCCGCTCCAACCCGGCCAATCTGGGCATCCTGCAGGGGTTGGGTGTGGGTCCCACCCCTGGGGAGACCCCCAGCCCCGGGGAGGGGGCTCGGAGCCATCCTTACCCCCTCACTGCTGCTGGAGCTGCTGGAGCTGCTGGGGGGGCGGCGGGTGCCCCTATCCCGCTCCCATTCCAGGTGCTGGAGCACGAGGCGCAGGGCAGCCTCCCGCGGCCCCTGCCCGGCCAGCAGCACCTCCAGGCCCCTCTTCTCCCTCTCCGCCAGCTGCAGCCGCGTCCTCAGCTCAGCCATGGCCTCCTGGCACGGCAGCGGTGTCACCATCCTCCGGCTCGGCTCCCACCCTGCATCCCGCGTGGAGGGATCCAGGCGTCGGATCAAAAACCTCAACCCCAGAACCCTCACCTTGAGCATCGCCAGGTCCTGCAGCAGCTCCGCCTTCTCGGGCCTCCTCCAGCCCGGCAGCAGCGCCCTGGCTTCTCGCAGCGCCCTCTCGGCCCGTGCCCGGGCCTCCTGGCCCTGCTGGGTCACCCCGGAGGGGGCCGGGGCGTCCAGCAGGGACCCCTCCACGGCCGCCTGCTCGGCGCGCAGCCGGCGGATGTGCTCCCGCAGCGCCCCCTCCTCCATCCCCCGGGGCGCTGGAGTGCTGCGGGATAGGGGTGCGCTTGAGGTGGGCACGGGGGTACCATGGGGACAGCCGAACATCGTGCCCCCCGCCCTCCTCCGCGTACCTCTGTGCTCCGGGGGAGCTGCTGGCCCCGCTCTCCTCCCGCCCGTCCGGCTCTGCTGGGCTCGGGAGCTGCGGCCCTGCCGTGGCCATGGGGCTGGACCCCTGCCCGTGCCCTGGGCTCTGCTCTCCTGCTGCTCCTGGGCACGGGACAGGCAGTGTGCGGGCAGGTGCCCCTCTCCAGAGCATCCCCCCTCCCCAGCATCCTCCCTGCAGCCCCCCAGCACCCTCCCCGAACCCCTCCTTGGAGCAGTATTCCTGCTCGGCCCTCCTGCATCACCCCAAATCCCCACACACCCCTCGTGCATCCCTTCAGCCTCCTGGCTGATCACTCCCCAGTGTGCCCTCAGGATCCTCCCCAGCACCACCAGTATCCTCACAGCATCCCCCCTGATGACTCCCCAGTATGCCCTTAACATCCTCCCAGCATCCTCTCTGGCACTCCCGGTATCCCCTCAGTGTCTTCCCCAGCACACCCAGTATCCCCCCATCATCCTCCCTGACAACTCCCCAGTACCCCCCAGTACCCCCCAGCACCCTGGAGCCCCCCCAAGCTGTCACTCACCCCCACGGGCACCGTCCTCCCGTCCCGCCTTGGCCTGCAGCAGGTCCAGGAGGGCGGCATAAGCGCCCCCACAGCGCTCGCTGCAGGACAAGGGGCTCAGTGTGGCTGTCCCCATCCTGCTGCCCACCCTGCTGCCATCCCCTCCCATCCCATCCCATCCCATCCCATCCCATCCCATCCCATCCCATCCCATCCCATCCCATCCCCTCCCATCCCGTCCCACGCGGCCCCACCTGCAGCGCAGGGCCAGGCGCAGGGCGGTGCTGCGGGACTCGTGCTGCCCCAGCTCCATGCTCAGCCTTTCCGCCTCGCTCTTGCACTCCTGCAGCGCGGCCGCCAGCTCCAGGTTCACCTCCTGCAGCCGCCCCAGGCGCCTGGGCAGGGCCAGCACCGCGGTCAGGCCGTGCCAGGCCCCGGAGCCCCAGGGATGGGGGGGGACTCACCCCTGCAGCTGCTGCAGCCGCTCCTCCTGCTCTTGGCTGGCACCCACCGAGGGCTGGGGGGACAGGGGGCTGTGGGGCTGGGAACCGAGGGGCTGCACCCCGTGGGGCTGGATCCTGTGGGGCTGCACCCCGTGGGGCTGAGTTTTGTCCCCACAGCAGGGCAAACCCTGCGGAGGGAACGGGCAGAGCCCAGCCTTGGGGCGGGATCCCACCCACCAATGCCCCCTACCCGTATCTCGGCCCCCCTGCACTCACCTGGTGCAGCCTCAGGGGGCTGCTGACCCTGGGGGTGTCACTTCCAGAGCCCCCCGGCTCCTCCAGCCTGGACAGGGCGTCCCGCAGGTCCTGCACCTGCGCCGGGCACCGGGCTGAGCTCTGGGGGTCGCGCCCGGTGCCCCCCGCGCGGTGCCCCCCGCACCCACCTTGCCCTGCAGGCGGTCCCGCTCCCCCCGCAGTGCCCGCAGCGCGGCTGTGGCCTGGCCCAGCTCCTCGTCCCGGCGCCCCAGGGCCGCCCGGAGCGTCGCGTTCCTCGCCAGCGCCGCCGCCACCTCCGCCGGCAGCTCCTCGCCCGCTGCCACCGCCGGGCACCGCCACGCCCGCCCGGCCCAGCCCGGCGCCCGGCTCAGCTCCTCCAGGCTCTGGGGGTGCAGAGCCGGTCAGAGGGTGCCCATCCCCTTGGCGTCGAGGCTGGGGGTGCCGGTGAGCCCCACCTTGGTGGCTCGTGCCCACTCCTCGCTGGGCACGGGCTGTGCCGGCGGCCGCCGGTGCCGGGAGAAGACGGCGCGTTCCAGGGAGCTCACGGCGTGCTGGAGGTCGGCGAAGAGGTCGGGGCTGGGGGCTGGGGGTCGGGGGGTACAGCGGTGATCAGGGGTGGCACGGCATGGAAGGAGGTGTCACGGCACATGCGGCACTGAGCACTCACCTCCCTGCCCGGTGACAGTGCCATCGAGGCGCCGCGGTGTGGGGCTGGCAGTGGGGGGGCTGGCGGTGCCCTCCCAGCCCTCCTCGCCCTCCCTGTGGGGTGATGAAGGGCAGAGATGAAGGGGGGCCGTGTGGTGGCAGCCCCCCATGTCCCCCAGGTGCCAGTGCCCGTGCCGGTACCTGCCGGGGCGGCGCTGGAGCTGCTCTGCCCGTCGGTGCAGCCGGGCCACCGTGGCCAGCAGCCCGGCGATGCGCTCCTCGTAGCGCAGGATGTCCTTGGCGTCACCCGCCATGTCCTCCTCATCACCATCCTCCTCCTCTTCCTCGTCATCCTCATCCCCTTCTTCATCCTCCTCCTCATCGCCGGGTGGGAGCTGTGGAGGCTGCAGGGACCAGGGGGGCGTGTCCGTCCCCCAGTCAGCAGCGGGGCTGGATGGGGTGGCACCCACCGGGGTTTCCTGGGATAGGGATGAGTTTTGGCCAGCAGCCCATTGGTCTCCAGGCCTGGAATTCCTCCCCAGAGCCCGGCACCAGGCCTGTGGCCGGGGGGTGCCTGAGGGAGGATCCCACACGAGGAGCCCCCTGACTGTTTGGGATCAGTCCCGGGAAGTGCCCAGCACACCCCACACCCCACTTGCCTTCTCCATCCCGGGCACCTCCTGCCCCGCGTGCGCCAGCGCTCCTGGTACGTCCCAGTTCCACCCCAGGGGTCTCAGCATGTCCTGATTCCACACCCGGGGTCCTGGCACGTCCCAGGTCCACCCTGGGGCTCCCTCCTGTCCCAGTTCCACGCCGCAGGTCCCAGGACGTCCCAGTTCCACCCTGGGCTTCCAGCACGTCCCGATCCCACGGCCAAGGCTCCGACACCTTCCGGCACGTTCCGGCTGCGCCTCCGGCCGCTGCCC